CCAGACAATTGCCAGATTTTTGAAATCAAAGGCCAGGAATTAAACAAAAAGGCAGGAAAAAAAAAAAATCAAAGGCCACAATCATTTTCTGATAAGTTTCTGGTACAATTCTCTGTACTCAGGGAATTTTCCTAGTTCTTTACATGTCTGTCGAGTGCATAAGATGTGCTCTTTATGTATTAAAGGGAAGGATTTTTTTTTTTGGATTAAAATGACGCTAGTTGAAGTTTTATGAAAAAGTCTCGAGTGAAAATACGTTTGAAGTTTCATGAAAAAGTCTTGAATGAAAATACGTACAGTTTTGGGAGATTAGGTCGAGCCCACAAGTTGTGACCTCGATGGAATAGGGGAACCCATTGAAAGTAAACTAGCACTACTCAATTGTTGAATTTTACGAAAGAGTCTTGATAGTGTAAAATTTCAAATGAACAGGTTGAGTGCATAAACGTGCCCCATGGATAGTATTTCAAGTAAAACGATACTACCCAATTGTTGGAATCGTACAAAAATGTCTCTAGATCATCGAGTTTCGACACATGTCGTTTGTGTATAACTAGATTGTTAGAAGTAAGGCCAAATAATTAAAGAGAAGAATTATACGAGTGATATGAAAATAATGGATCACAATGAAAACAAGATTTATGTGAAAATCCAAATTCAGGAAGATCACGAGTAGTTGCAGAGAATACGCTATAATCAATAATAAAGATTTACAAAAAATCTCTTTGGACCAATAACTAATTGGAACCAAAGAATCTCTAAAATACTAGCAGAATTAATCCATGAAAAGTTTAATATAAAAATGAAACTCCAATGTAATGGGTAAAACCAATAATGAAGAATTTGGGATGAAATAGGAGTTAAATTCACATCGGACTCCTTCAAGACATCTTCATATCTATTACAAATTCTGAACTTTCGATACTTCTCCAACAATATTTTCAATTAAATACTCAACAAGAATTTGAGTCACAATTCAATTTGAACATAGGTCGAGTTTGATTGAGAAAAACGACAAGATTTCATCTATAATTGTGTAAACACATTTCCAGTTAAAAGAAAAAAAGATTACACCTAACTCATAGATGAGAAGTCATATCCAATTATATGATTTGAATTTAAGCATATCGGTAACTGTTCCCATTAAGACTAATATTATATGCCAATGATCAGATCAAATTCAAGTCATAAGCAGCAATTTTTTGACCTTTCTGAATTTTTCATTATACTTCAAATATCATGGTAACAGTAGGAACAAGAACTGGTGAAACACAATTTCTCCCCCACGCACCCACCCACCTACCCTTCCCCGTCCCTCCAAACACACATGATGAAGAAGTCGCTTTCTTACATCATCATAAAATTGAGAAAAATAAAAGAAGTGAAGGGACCATGGGAATATTAATTATATTGATTTGTACTAAAATTAACAAATCCCTAGACACCACCCTCCTTGGCTCCTTTGCGTAACGAAGTGGGCGAAGACACTCCCACACCATGAAACGGACAAGAATTGGTGAAACAATTTCTTATCTCTTCCTCCGCATCCCGTCCCTCCACGGCTCCACGTACACAAGATGAATAAGTCGCTATTTTACAATATTATAAAATCGAAAGAAGTGAATGGATGGTATGAATGATTTAATTGTTGCTGTTACTGCTCATCACCGAGACTCCAATGGAAGTCATGTCACAGTCTACATGCAAACATTACGTTAGATAAGATGAAGTAAATAAATACCCAATTAGTCAAAATGAAAAAGTCAAAAAAGAAGTCGATCTCATTGTTCCGAATCTCTTATATAGCCGAAATCCTATCTCTACCCGAAACTTTCTTTGGCTGAAGCACCCTTTCCATCCGAAGTTCTCTTTTGGGCTGAAGCACTTGTTGTCTTTTAAGTGATCTTTAGACAATTTTTAAGAATGATTGAAGTAACGTTTATACTAATGAATGTCAGGATTGTTAGTTGAGGATGCAGGGCGGCTAACCCATTGTCAAAAGAATTGTATAGCAGATAGAGTGATGTGAGGTTTCGGTTTGAGAGATGAGGTCACGTGATTCGAATTCAACGGCTATCATGCCGGTCAGAACTCTATAAATAAGCAACTCTCGTAACATTTATTTGCTAATGCAGCTCTTCGCACTTCAAACCATATTCAATCTTGTATGATTCATTCCATACTTATTTGCTCAAGTTCAGATTACTTTTACCTTGATTGAGTTGTTTATGATAGTTTGTTTATATACGTTGTCGGTATTTGAACGTTTTTGTCTCGCATCGTAAAGTATTTCCCTCACTCCACTCCCTTCCCTTTAGAAACGATGAAGAAGTCGTGTTCTTACAATATTATAAAACTGCAGTAGATAGAAGAAGTGCATGGACTATGTGGATGATTAATTGTTGCTATTAGTTACATTTCTTTGTCTACGAATTGAAAATCTTCAGAAATCCCCTAAACAGAAGTCCCCGAGCTACACAAGAAATTAAGAGAAAAGCTATTTGTACATTGCAAGTTACATGACCTTTAACAGAATGACGTGGCGGGTCTCAATTTTTAAACCAAACCAGCCATGGTTTTTGCCAAAACCACCAATACCCGGCCCAATAATGGAATGAAAATCTCAAAACAAGAACTTTCCCTCATTTTCTTCCCCCCTCGCAACTTTCCCTCATTTTCTTCCAAATTTGAAGTTCCCCTCACAATCGGCCCCGAACAACTACTGTACAGAATTCCCTAATTTTCTTCCAAATTTGAAGTTCCCCGCTCGCAATCGGCAGCTTTCTTCCAAATTTGAAGTTCCC